ACTGACATATATACAGCATAATAAGGGAGGATCTGGGTGGGACAGTGTTATGAATTAATTGCTTAAATATACCACTGAAAGTTGATTATTTATGTTAGGATCAAAAGACGTAGATTGTACTCTTGCCATTTATATTTACAAGAAGTCGAAACAACTTTATATTGTCCATTATATAAATAACACTTAACTGAGAGGAAAGGTTACTATGAGAAGGAAACATTCAAATATTGGTTACCTGCTGTGCCATGTGTTCAAGTTGATTGATTAATGAAGAAGATTATAAGACATTGAGAATACTAGGGGTTGTGTTATGTCAGAAAAGGGGGACGTTTTGTTTACCGATCATTACTTAAAATCGCTCATCGTCATTGCATTACATAATAGACTCAAATATTCTATGTCTAGGTTCTAATTTAAATTTGGGTTTGACATAGAACTGATTGACGAGAAAAGTGTTGCATTTACATCTTTGAGTTCAGTGAAGAAGATCGGAATTGATATCGTAAATATTAAGAACCAAAGCAAAAGAAAATTCATGAAACTTCCTGGTCGTGCAAATGAAATCACACGAGATCCCGACTCGCTGTTTGTCTGTGTAGAAGGTTGTGGTCTATAAAAAATAAATATTTCGAACTATACTACACCTCACGTGATCAGTTGTAGCCTACTGTCACATTACTACGTTTCTGTTTCCTCAACAAAGATATACTACACTAACTGCAAAGACAACAGTGTAGTTTGTTGTGAACAAAATAGATGCTTGGACTTTTAAAGATAATTTGGTTTTGAATAAACCTGAAGTCATCGCTGTTAATAATATTGGAAACGTGTATGTTGTTGGAGCAAAATCGTTGAACGTAGTAATTATAACAAACTATGGAAAGCACCACAAACAAATCCTGGCCAAAAATGACTGTCTTCTTTCTCCATCTGCTATTTTCCTTGATAAAGAGAACAGGAGAGTTCTTGTTGCAAATAGCGAGAAAACTGCTTCCTTTACAATATTACGTATGCATAATTGGAAAAGATGCATATTAATTTAGTATGACAAACAGAGCCGTACTACTTAAATTCATAAAAATAGGAAAACAAGCGATTTTTAACCATGTTATGAAATTAAAAGTTGAATAAAATTAATTAAATATCAGATGTTTGTTAAGTAATAAATTTAGGGTGAATTTGTTTGTAATAAGATAAAGCCTCAAATATCAGAAATCTTTTAGGTCATACTGCTTGTACATGAATTATGCTTATTAAAGTGGTAATAAAAATTATTTTGAGTGTACACAGCCAGCTCAGATATGTATCGTAACATGTGTAAGGAATATTAATAAAAATGAATACACAGGAACAATAAATATATATTGTGCTACCTTCTTTTAAATGCACAAAATATTGAATCCGTTTTTTTTATCAATGACTTCCTCTGGTAAACTTACTTCTTATTTTACACAATACTTAAAAATACCATTGAAAATTGATTATTTTTGTTAGGATTAAGTCGGATTGTTCATTATATATATAACACATTGCTGAAATGTTAATATGAGATAGAAACATTCAAATATTGGTTACCTGCTGTGCCATGTGGTCTAAATGTTGACTGATTGATGGTTGCTTGACGTTCAGTGGTAAATATTTCATGCATGATCAGGACGATGCTAAAGTTGAATGATACCCTCCTCCAGCAATATAAACAAAGTTTTATAAAGGTCTTTGACAGATGTAATTGGTGCAGTTGATCTCGAAAGGACAATAAACTGCGTCAAAAGTTCACTTGTTCACTCTAAGTGTCCGATGAAATGTAGAACTGGGCAACCAGTCGTAGTATTAAAAGATTTGTTGTAAAAGAAAGTTTTAAAAGAACTTTCTTTTTTGTACTTTTTCATTGTACTGTTATACAACTGTCCCAGGTTAGGGGAAGGTTGGCGCCTTTAAACTAGTTTAACCCCGCCACATTCTGGATGTGCCTGTCCCAAGTCAGGCGCCTGCAATTCAGTGGTTATCGTTTGTTGCTGCATATCATATGTGTTTTTGGTTCATTATTTGTACATAAATCAGGCCGTTAGTTTTCTCGTTTGAATTGTTTTACATTTGTCATTTCGGGACCTTTATAGCTGACTATGCGGTATGGGTTTTCTCATAGTTGAAGGTGACAGATAGCTGTTAACTTCTATGTCATTTGGTTTCTGGGTGAGAGTTGTCTCATTGGCAATTATACTACATCTTCTTTTTTTATATTTAGCCCTTTAAGGATATATACAACTCTATCAGATTGTTGGTTTTGAGTGTTCTCGACGAAGGTAAATCGCAAAATAAGAAATTGATGCACGTAAATTAACTTAAGAACTATTCGATTTTTGTGGACACTTATGTAGGAATTGTCTAACGTTTTTAAGATAAAATAAAAAGCAGATGCATGATCGTACCGAACCAATTACATGTATTAGAGGTGGGTCAATCTGTATATATAAAATTAACATTATGTCCCTATTCGCGAAGTCTATTGAGAGAGATATTTTGCCATGGCGTTGTCAGTTTTATTTCGAGTTATGAGTATTTTTAAATATGCCTTTGGTATCTTCCGCTTCTTTTTAAAAACGGTGCCGTAAGAAACGACATACTAGTAGTCCCATAAACGTTGACCCCTTTAGCATAATAAGCATAGATGACGATATTACACTTTTCCCATTAGCATAGTGGTTAATGCAGATACAATTAAAGATATAGTTTAATATGGATTGCTTAGTATCAAATACGTTGACTACTTCATTCGAGTCCCTTTTATTAATAGGCTAAAGGCCAAGGCTCCGTGTTGAAGACCGTACTTTGACCTATAATGGTTTACTTTCATAAATTTTGACTTGGATGGAGAGTTGTCTCATTGGCACTCATACCACATCTTCTTATATCTAAACAATTAACTTGAAAGAATTTTACTGTGCAAAGCAAAATTGAAGTATTTTGAATATCCGGTCATTATTCCGTATACAACATATTGGAATTAGGCAATCACCAATCATATGCAACTATTTTTCACATCATAAGAATTGAATAAACAATACCTTACAAAAGTAATACAAATTGTGCCGATGTTAAATTTGAGTTTAAAGTAGGTAGATGCTGACAATTACAAAATGTACGTGAGATCTAGTGTAGTAAAGTATAAAAGTCAAAATCCATTTGCCAGGAGTTATCTTTCCTTTGGGTCGTGTTCAATATCCGTATGTACTGTGATGTTGTCCAATGAATCCAGTATTGTCTATCAGCCATAGGAAGGAACTTTAGTCAATTAATTAACGAAAAACATATTTGCCTCACATCATGATCAAGTCATATGATGCTCATTTTGTTGCATTGTTTATACAAAGAGCAGAGGGCGAGACATTCCCTCAACACATTACATCGATTTAGAGTGCTACTATAGATTATGCTAAATTAAATGAAATATAGATAGCATTTTATTATTTTTCAAAATACTACCGATTTTCTACCCCAAGATAAGATTACCTTTGAATTGTTTGGCAAAACCTCTCGGAATTTTGGGTCATCAAGGATTTTCAACTTCGTATTTTATTTGGTCTTTTTAACTTTTTGATTCGATTGTCACTGTTGAGACTTTTGTAGACGAAACGCTCGTCTGACATATAAATTTTTTATTGTGGTATCTATAATGAGTTTAATTGCAGTTCTTCATTTATAAATTGGGTGGAAAGAACTTATCGATAAAGTGAATTGTATAACCACACACACATTAAGTTTCTATTCTGTTTATAATGTTCTCCGACTGAATAGTCAGAATTAACTGGTAGCCATTGTAGACTCTTATTTACCTAAAGTTATATCTATCGTTTGCTTAATATGCAGCATTCGAAATTCAAAGCTATTTATCATTAGAACACCTCAAAATGTATAGGCCATTGCGTTAAATATGTGTTCAGGCTTATTATGATATTCAATAATTTAAGTAACATGTATGCATAATTATATTACACATGTGTTACATAGCATTTCATATTTTTGAGAGACATTTTGAAGATTTCATTATTTTTTGCAATTTCTTGTAATTTCTCAAAATGAAAAGCAAGGACCTTACATTCGAAACGAAAACTTTTTTTTTAAATTAAGGGCACATGTGGTATTTAAAGAAATGCAATAAACTCATCATAGATACCAGGATTAAACATTTTTTACGCCAAACGCGCGTTTCGTCTTCAAAAGACTCGTCAGTGAAGCTCGAATAAGAAAAGCTAAAAAGTCTAAATCAATTACGAAATTGAATAGAACTGAGGACCCATAATTCCGAAAGAAATTTCCTTACAACAACAATTGTTAAATGTGTTTTTTTTCTTTCTGAAATGCATTATCAAATCAATGAACTGACAAGAATGGTTTGTCCTCTCTATTTGTAGCAAAGTAATCTGCTGACCGGGTTTTGATTTGAGTTGATATTTCCAATCCCCGAGAATCCTTTTGTGTTTTCATTCATATATATCTTTTAAATTAAAACTTTACAAAATGACTACTTTGCGAAGTATTCAATTCAACTGCAATATGTATGACCAAGAATCCTTTTGTGTTTTGATGCTTTTATATATATCATTTAAACTCCTCAATACTCAACTTCTACTTGCTTCCATCAGCTTTCATTTATTTACCATACCACGCTTTACACCAAAACGTTTAAAAGTGAGAGATTGCAGGACTAGGATTTGAACAAAATCTGGTACCCGGATTTCTTGTCGCCCCGTTAAGTGTGCAAACAACTCTTGTAACTTCATTCAAGATAATGCAATTAAGAAAAAACAACAAGAAAAACAACACACCTTCAAAGCAAACTATTGTAAGATAAATTCAAGGTTATAAATCTTTTTTCTTAAATACACATTATTCGATGAGATTAAGATAGATTAAACGATGAGTGGATGGAATATCATATGAAACATTTGAATTAAAATATTGATTTTATATACAAGACATGCAGAATAAATATTGGATTTATATATTTATACCTGTTGTAATTTTATTAGGGAGAATAAAGGAAAGATGCCACTGACTTTCCGGGCAAATTATACGAATAACGGACTCCATTAAAGTTCAGTGCAAATTGTTTGCTTTGATCTTGAGTATTCAAGACAACTACGGCAATAGTTCCAAGCGGATTTTCGAAGGCAACCGATCGTAATCCATTTACATTATCGGTCGAATCGATTCTCACGGCTTGTGTCTTAACTACCTTCGTCAAATGCCCTATGATGTAGTATTCAACTTCTTTTTGATACCGGTCAGACCCAGAATAAACTGTTATCACACCTCTACAGTCCTTGCAACCTTGAACCTGTACTCTAGGTCCATGATTTTGATCAAGGGCGATATTCCAAAATAAAACAGTTTTGGCCCATACTCTTGGTTGTTGAAGGAAAAGATTGTCAAAATTCCAAACCAAGTTACCTTTGAAATTAGGAGAACCCGCATAGCCAGAACATTCTGTAAAATACTGGTCAATGTTCGAAAATTTTGAATGAAGTCTTTCCGGTTCCGATTTGTCTCCAGCGTAGCAATGCCATGCCACGCCCCCTACGTATTGTGTCGCATCATTGTCTCGTAGAATGTTTTCCGGGTACTCGTGGAGATCCCAGTTATGGTCCAGAATAAGAATTTTAGTGTTAATATTGTTTTGTCGAAAAAGTGGTCCCATATGCCACTTAATCAAATCCCTTTGTATTTGCCAAGACATTGTCATAGTCGGGTAACCACTTGTTTGAAGACGAGGCTCATTTTGAATTGTAATTGCATTAATATCTATCCCTTCAGCTTTATATGCTTGAATAAATTTAACAAAGTATAAAGACAAAGCCTGTTGGTATTTTCCGTCCCAATCTTGATGAAAATCGCCTCCGTATAAAGTATTAGTGGATTTCATCCACGCCGGAGGACTCCATGGTGTAGCAACTATCTTCAAAGACGGGTTAAGACTCAAGGCTTCCTTGATGATAGGAATAAAGAATTCACGATCTTTCTGAATGCTGAAATGATTCATCTGGAAATCTGTCTGTCCATTGGGCATGTCATCGTACGTATACGGAGGTACAGCTTGAAAGTCAGATCCGCCCATTGTTATTCTTATGTATGACACACCTGCAATAGAAAACAGCAATACTTATACATATGCATTGGTGGCATCCGGCCGTTTTCTGCACTTTGATCGGGTTGTTGTCTCTTTGACACATTCCCCATTTTAATTCTCAATTTAACAATAAAGTATTAAGCATATTGGGACTAATAACAATTTTCTGTTATCACAAATCAAAACTTGGCACACATAGTCCGGAAGTTCCTTGATATTTTGTTTGTTAATATCGATAACTAATAAACATATCAGAAATACGGTAGGAAGATTTGTTTATATATATATCCCTGTTGACATAAAAACGGGTTTCCTTGATTTTTTGGGCCCAAATTGCATATTACACTTTTAAAATTGCTAAAAATTTAAAAGATAAACAATTGTCTCATCAAAAGAGGATGTACATTTATGGAAATCTTTTCATTTATTTTGCATTATGATGAACCAATTACACATCCACATCTATTAAAGTTGTTATTACAAAAATATATCACCGTTGATTGTTTATAATTTAGAACAAACTTTATGGTGTTCAAGTGGCTAGGATTGTTGCAGGAAGCTAAATGTTACTTTAATTTGTCATTTTATTTTAACACCGTAACAGATAATGAATGACCATGATGTGAAAATTGTTGCAGATTTAACATGGATGACCTATTTTTTTCACAATTCAAATGTAAGAAGTCAAGGTCGTATCAAAAGTACTTAGTAACCATCCTTATTTGATACACATTTACCTTGCAACCGTACATATCTGTTCTGGATTAATGTCAGGGGCAATGTTGTCACCAAAGTTCTTGCAAAGATTCTCAAAATAATGAGAAATATCATTACGATTGAGAGACAAGCAAGTAAAGATTTATAATTTATGCTTGAACAAGTTTCTGTTCGTAGCTGTTAAACAGTTACTCGAAAGAACACGATGTCACGTGGAAAAATAAAAACTCTAATTCGAGAGGATTAGCCAGAGGTACATTATAATAACGTCGATTTTTTATCAAATTATAAAGGATTAAAAGGTATTTTAACACACGATGTAAATGGCGAACTACAATTAATAATTATGAATGATAATACATAGTAAGTTTACTTTCTTGGAGCGTATAACATATAAAATAAGAGCCTAACAGTAGTTTACCGATGTCAAAAACCTCGTAAATCTATTTTTTAAATCAAAATAAGATACAAAAACGTGTGGGTATCGCATGAACTCGGAACGGAAGAAGACCAGTTGCATCGACAGAGTATACGTCCATGATATGAATGCAAAGCCCACCTTGCGAATGCAGGCTAAGTGATACAAAAAGCGAGTAATTAAACGCACCAATTCCACCTGTAGAGCTAAAAAGTTGTCTCATAATTTCATGTCTTTTTGGACTGTGGTAGATTACAGAGGCAGCTGAGTTCGACAAACCGGCACCAAAACCCTCCATTGTTTGATAACGCTGGTTTTTGTTGATATTTATTTGAGGCAAGTTGTTATTGTCATGCAATGGATACAAATCATTTTCCTGTGATAACTTCTTAGACTGGTCACCAGTAGTAAGAAGCACTTGCACCTTCGCTCTGTCTAGCGTGCTGAACAGGAACGAATCGACGATTGTGAAAAAGAGAAAGAAAACTGGAATCAAACCATTAATAGAGGATTATTTATTTTTAAAAACATTAAACGGAAATTTATGTATCAACAACACATATATTTATTTTGAGAAAAATCTATAGATTTGAAATTGCAGATTTGATGATTTTATAACAAATTTAAGAACTTTTTTTGCCAATTTTATGTGCTTTCTATACATGCTATACAAATGTTCACCTATTTTGAAAGAATTCAATCAGTAATTTTTCAATAATATGATAAATGCATTTTTTTTTCGATTTTCAATTATAGTTCAACAAGCCGAAGATGTATAAAATTTTTTATCAAAATCTGTGACAAAGCCCATTTACTGTAACTTGACCTTAAGTGGTTTCCTCTTCGTGCGCCCATCTAATCAAAATTTTGCTTGGAGGTATGTAACCATTAGTATCACATTTTATTACATATATATTTTAATTTTGTGAATAGATGTTTTGTGATTTTGTACGTATTTGACCAAGAATTGGAATTTTCTCTTCAAAACTATGTCATCTGAAATCAAAAACACTTAAGGTGGTACCTAACACTACAGGGAGATAACTCTGTAAAAATCAACTTAACGTTTTAATCACGTTGTATTGTTAAGGAAATATTAAGCTTCTCAATGATCAAAATTAGTGTTTGTCAAACTGCTATATAACCAGTGAATTTTTTCTGATAAAGTGGTTGGTTCAAATTATTTGAAATTTTTATATTTTTGTCAAAGGGTCAAAGTAAACATTTTGTCAAATTTTTAGGAAAATTAAACGAGCCAAATTAGTATTAGTCAAGGTGTTGGGTACCACCTTAATTGTATAGTTGTAGAATACATGTATATTCAATATACTTTTATGTCAACTTACAACAAAGTTTTCGTCCTTCCATCCTTGTTCACATGTGTGTTCCTCCTTATTGACTTTTTCCTGATATTATCGTGATTATATATAGTCTAAGATGTTATCTTCTACTGATGTAGGCCATGCCTATTTATGTATTTGTTTAGCGTCTAGATAAATGTTTAAAACTTACCAGTTAATAAAACACTGCTCATAATTAACTTCTGTTTGACGCTAGTTTAAATAACAAAAAAATGTGTTCAACAATTAGCTTAGCAAACTACCATAGCACATACGATTGTTCATATTTCGAACCAAGTAACGATTTAGGACCAATCTTATCAGAATATTGATCCCTGACTTCGACGAGTACACGAGTTACGATATATCTGATTTTCAATCAGATTGGATATAGAACATACATATGAATGAATTTCAAATAACACTTTCAAGATTATTTTTTTTACCTTGAACAGATTTTCTTGGATTTTTTGGTTTGTACTTTATCTTAGACAATCAAAACCTTACGGACTCAAAACTTAGAAGAGTCATATTGTCCATATATGTAAAGATAGCGTAAATAAGGGTTGTTTTCTCACGTGCATGTTGATGTAGATACCAAGCAAATGTAAAATAACACATCATGTAGTTTTGATACAACGACAAAAGAGAAATAGACTTTACTTGTTTACAGGTTAGAGAATAATGGACCACGACTAAAGAAAAATGGACCACAAAAGTTAAGAATAGAAACAAATAGACCAAAAAATAAGGAATAGGGAATCATGGGGTTCTATAATATAAGGTTAGAGAATAATTTTTAGCTGCAGTATAAAAACTATATTTGGTAATTTTTTTGGTATTCGGCACGAAACAGTTGAAGGGCTCGGTAAACCTTCCCTAGATTCTAAGCCTCATACAAAAAAGTAAAAATTTTTCAGACATTGATCTTGATATATTGTATATTGAAAAAGAATAATGACAAGTATATCATATTATTTTAAGGTGCATCAGGTTCAAGTCGCGGATAATGAACACATGATGTTAAAATATTATAGTTACATAAATGACATGTGTTTTAAGGAATTTTTCACTTTGGGGTGAAATTGTATAATTATTAAAACGTAACAACACACATCTACGTCACATATATGTCAAATATGAATCGATTACAAAGTTGGATCATCAAATTTGGAGCTTTTAAAAATAAAGCGCATATGGTTATTGCATATATGAAACATAACATATAAGAATAAGAAGATGTGGTATGATTTCCAATGCGACAACTCACCATCAGAGACCAAATGACTCAGAAGATAACAATTATTGATCATTGTACGACCTTCAACAATGAGCAAAACCAAAACCGAATAGTAAGCTTTTAAAGGCCCTAAAATGACAACAAAAGAGAGAAGGATAAAGCGTGCAACGTGTGTTTAATAAGGGGACATTCAGTTGGTTTTTTGGGGGTGGGGTGGAGGGTTAGGAACAGAGTTTTATTCGCATTTATGTACACAACTGTTTCGTGTGTTTTGTGGAATAGAGAGAAATTGCTAAAATAGTAAAGAATACAGAAATGAAGGACTTCGATCTAGACCCTCCTTTATGGATATAAAAATATGCATATCTTTTAAAGAGATATATTAAAGACTTTTAACTATCCCAATGCATATTATATTTGTGTATGTATATATGATATATTGAGTGATTCGTTCTGAACATGCAAGAAATATTTGCCACTGGACATTAAGCAAACAACAATCAATAGCAAGTGATACTGAAAATTAAAAGGAGACGATAAGTTTATTGCTTACGAATAAAAGGAGATGTGAAGAAAATGTTAATGAGACAGCAACCCAACTACAAAAATAACAAAAAGTCATATAGAGGGCAACATACATGCTGTTGTCTGTTCTATGGTCGGGTTGTTGTCTCTTTGACACATTCCCCATTTCCATTCTCAATTTTATGTACAGTCTTTAACACTAAAAGGTGTCTTATACAAGCTATAAAAGTTGTGAATAAATTGACAGAAACAATAAAATCCCTCAAAATCTAAACCTAATTTTCCAAAAAACGAAAAAAAATAAAGAGATGTGGTATGATTGGCAATGAGACAATTAACCACCAGAGACCAAACAACTCAGATATTAGCAATTGTACGTCACCGTACGACCTTCAAAACTTATCAGAAATGTGATACAAGAAAATAGCCTGATTACCGGTCGCTTGTCTACTCTTCGACATAGCTCTTAAACTTTCATTTAGTACACAGAAAGTAGAAGTATAATGACAAGTATACCATATCATTTTAAGGTGCATTCGGTTCAAAACAAAGATAACATACTCGTGATGTTAAAATATTTCAGTTACATAAATGACATATGTTTTAAAGATTTTTTACTTTGGGGGTAAAACTGTATAATCTTTAAAAGGTAAGAATATTATCTACCTCACGTAAAGCTCAAATATGAAACGATTTTAAATGTCAATTATAATATTTGGAGCTTTTAAATATTAACTGCATCTGGTAATTGCATATATGAAACATAACATGTTCATAACAAACAAACGAAAGAAGGATAATGTGAGAAATGTGTGTTTTATTGGGATATTCAGTTTACGTCTCCTTTGATGAAATCACGGTGATATTCGTCCATTTTCGTCGTTGTTGTAGTAACGGCAGATACTCTTTCCTCCTGTACAATAACATAGTGGCAGTTCAAAATTAACGGATTTTCTGGCTCCGGTACCAGAGGTCTAGAGTTCACTATTGCTGAAACATCTGCCATTAAAGTGTTGAGCACGTCATGCGTTATGCTCCTTCCGTCGACATTCAAAGGCATAGAATGAAGTATTCTCCTGACGATACCCATCATTCTCTCCCAGGCTCCTCCCATGTGGGACGAATGTGGCGGATAAAAGATCCGTGTTGTACCAGAATTGTACAAAAAGTTCTTGAAGGGTCCGTCCTCAACGTTGATTGAGTCGATTTTCAAGTTATCGATTGCGCCAATGAAGTTTGTTCCACGGTTGGATCGGAAGATCTTAACTAGTCCTCTAATAGCTGTAAATCTTCTGACGTCGTTTATACAGACTGAAGACCTCATTTCCGCGATGAGTTTGATGTGAACAGCTGTTGTCACTAAGCAAATGAATAGAATTGCCCAACGTTTGAAGTTGGCGTATCCACCACGGGTTTTACGTAAAACAATTGTCCATGGTCCAAAGGTGTCGATTCCAACGTTAGTAAACGGAGGTGACGGTTCAAGACGGTCCTCTGGCAAATCAGACATAATTTGACACTCGGTTTTTTCTCTTAGTTTGCGACATGTCACACATTTCAAGCGTTTCGCTCCAACGATCCAGAATACTGCGGATCTAATCGCTCCATCTGTGAAGTGTCGACCTTGATGTTTGATCTTTTCATGGTAGTGTCGGACTAATAGTGTTGCTATTTGATGGCGTAGAGGGACAATTAATGGTTTCTTTTCACGGAGATTCAAGTCAGATTTGACAAACGGCCTCCTACTCGTAACAGTCCTCTTTCGCCCAAGAACGGGTGGAGGTTAGCTATCGGGCTTTGTTTATGAATTTGTTCTTTACATCGAATGCTATCTATTTCTTATCCGTAAATTTCGTGTTGTGCAGACATCAAAATGAAATTTTCGGCGTTTGAAAAACTTTCCTCAATACTCACTGATTCTGCCTTTCTTGTCGCGTTTAAACGGGAGAAACGTTCCAAAACGCTATTACTCGCACAAGTGGAGTCCAGTTGGAGAATCGATGATATCTATCAGTTCCAATACCTTTACACTCTGGTTTTGCATATGTCTTTGCAACATTGACAGTTGCACGGATTCCTCCATCGTCCTCTAGATCGACCAGTTGATATTCGTCCTCAAAATGAATTTCGTGGGCTAGTATGGTTCTTGTCCCTGAATCTGCTTGATTACGGTCAGTTGGTACGTAGTTCCATTGACTTGGAGAGCTAAACTTCCCTATTGTTTCTACTCTATTAGCAACGTAGATAAAGAAACTTCTTGTCTCGTTACTGATGTAATTTAAAACCACTTTACTGTCTGTTTAAAATTTCACGGTGTCTATGTGTAAATCTAAATTATCCACGATGCTTTGTGTGATCTCAACTGCTAATATGGCAGCTGATAGTTCAAGTCGTGGAATAGAATGACCACTTGTTGGTGCAACTTTTGCTGAGATATGGCACGTAGGTAAGTGGAATGCGTAACGTTTCAATAACTATTAGAGTATCTCTCCAAGATTTCCATTCGGTTGCTGTCTCATCAGAGAGAGGTTGGCCCCAATCGACGGTTTCTGATACTATTTTCCTTAGTAGGAGTTTTCCTTGTATAATCACCGGAGCCAAAAAACAAAGAGAATCGTAGATGTTGTTTATCGTTGATAAAATTCCTCTCCGAGTGATTGGTTTATTTTCTGATCACAATTGAAATAAGTAGATGTCAGTGTTCACGTCCCAACTGAGTCCAAGACTACGTTGTAGGGGTTTGCTGTCGGTCTCTAAGTCTAGATCCTTAAAATTGGAAGCACAATCACTGGCTTGAAATGCAGACATAACTTCCGCACAATTAGAGGCGAACTTGTGAAGCCTTAATTTTCCATATTTTGCTAATGCTTGTTGTGTGTCCTTCATGAGCTTAACTGCTTCCTCTTTTGTATGACATGACGTAAGACCATCGTCGAAATAGAAGTTTCTTGTCACAAAGCTAGTCACGTGACTACCGAACTCTTGTTCTGATGTCTGAGCTGCTTTTTTTCTCAGTCCAAGCGTAGCAACAGCAGGTGACGGACTATTTCCGAAAACATGAACCCTCATGCGGTATTCGAAAATGTTCTCTTGTAGGTCGTTATCTTTATGTCATAAAAATCTCAGATAAATTCGGGGGTCTTTTTCTGGATACAAACCAGTGAAACATGTGTTGAACGTCAGCAGTTACTGCAACCATTTCTTTCCTGAAACGCAACAGTACTCCCAAGAGAGCATTGGTCAAGTATGGACCTGTTAGCAGGACGCTGTTAAGTGAGAC